TTTGATGAATATTTTTACTTTTAGGTTTTGTTTACAATATTATATCGGCATATTTTATCGGCAGCACTTGCGTCTTCGGTTAGTTCCATTATATTTGCTAGATAATTAATTATAATCTTAAAGTTGTTTGATAAATTAGTTCTTCATATTCTATTCTACGATATTTCCTAATTTCTTTTCTTTTTTTTCTTTTTCCTTTTTCTTTCACTCTTTTTGGTTTTAATTTCGACATTTAAATTCTCGATATAGGGGAGCTCACTATGACAGGATAACTTTTATTCACAGTTTTTATATATGTTAGTTTATATTGTCTCTGAGGAAGGCTCAAAAGCTGAAACATGTAAGCGCGTTTTAATGAATAAAGAAGTTTCACTTCATAGATATATTATTTGAGCGACGTCTCCTGCGCTTGATTCCTACTGCCCGTATCCTTTTCAGTTCTTCAACCATACTGAGTCAAATTATAAAACCGTATATAAAAATAAATCCAAATCAATTCTTCGCCTTAACAGCGAGAAAGGATAGTAATGTGGTCAAAAAAAAGATCCAGTCAATAATAAAATAAACATTGTTATGTATTATATTTGACTTCCCTACAATAACTTCACACAGGTTTTTTAATGAAAATATAAAACAACATATGACTAGAGATTTAAAAAAAAAAATGTAAGAAAATGACTCTTCGTGAAATTGTCCGGGACATAAGTCCCATGTTATAGAAATGCAAGCGACTTAAAATTACGCTCTATCACTGAGCGCTACATAACCTTACGGCCTAAACACGGCATTAGAGAAATAATAAACAGTAATAAATAAATAAGAAAGATGATATTAAAGATGATATCTATAGTAATGTTACATACCGATAAAATACTCTTATTCTTTATAGATATTCTTCATAGATGTACAATTTATACTTTACTTTTATCTTATCGCTAGATTTCCCTATTTTATCTTTATTTCGAAACCGGAAATTCCGTTCCTCTTTTATAAGAGGGTATATTCAGTTTCTTTATTTAAACATTCAAACTTTAACAGATAGATCACGTTATGTATTTTTATGCGTCATAAAAATTATCTACAGATTATTCTAGAAAGAATGTCTAAGAATATCACTTCGATCTTTCTCAAAGAAGCCCTCCTATAAAATAACAAATATAAAAGCGTACATTAACATTAATAATAATGTATATTATATTAGCGTTTAACGATTAAGTAATTAAGTTCAACGATTAGCAGTAAAATAGAAATCTTCCTGAATGCGAGAACGAATATCTTTTTTTTTCCCTTTTTCTTTTTCTAATAAAATTAAATTAATTTTAAACATATGAATGTAGTGAATTCGCCTCGCATAAAGAATATTAAGGAAAACCGAATTTTTATTATAACAAATGGTTAAAACTCAACAATTATTACTTATTAAGAATAAACTTGT